ATACAAGATAAGAATATATAAAACTAGCAGTTATAGAAAGCTATAATCTATCTATACACGTGTCACTATAACAATGGGTAATGAATATATGATAATATCCCCCTCAAGGTGGACTATGTATACTACAATGTCTCAACTTATTCAAAATAGTAGTCAGAGCAAGAGAGTGTAATGGTTTTGTGAACATATCGGCTAAATGAGCAGTGGTGGAAACAGGTAGTAGATGAATGAGTTTAGAGCAAAGTTTCTCGTAAATTACATGGCAATATAGCTCGATATGTTTTCTTCATTCATGAAATTTTGGATTATTGGAAAGGTATATAGAAGATTTACTATCACAGATAACTGATGCAGGCTAAGAAATATTGACCATAAAATCATGAAAGAGGTATTGTAGCCATTACAATTCACACACGAGAGAGGCTAATGCTCTATACTCAGCTTCAGCTGATGACTTGGACACAATGTTTTGTTTCTTAGACTTCCAGCACATAAGAGAAGAACCAATGATAATGCAATAATCTATAACAAGCTTTCATGTATCAGGACATCTAGCCAAATTTGAATCAACAAAAGCATAAAGTCTTAGATCACTAGAAGCTGGATATAATATGCCTTTTGCAGAGACATATTTAAGATACATAAGTATGCGTGTTGCAGCTTGATAGTGTGGCAAAAGAGGACGAGATACATATTGGCTCAGATATTGTACAACATAGTATATATTAGGCCTGGAATTAGTCAAGTAGATTAACAGGTTAATCAATCTTCTATAGTTGGATGGATTTTCTAATGGATGACATCATTAATTTAAAGTTTAGAGTTAGGATCAAAAGGAACAGAGGAAGGCTTAGAGGCAATAAAACCATTATCTTTTAAAAGCTCCATGTATACTTTCTCTGATTTAGGAAGATGCCTATTTTGGATCTAGCTATTTCAAAACCCAGAAAGAACCTTAATTGACCAAGGTCCTTGATTTTGAATTTGTAATTCAAAAGCTGCTTAACAGATTGAATTTTAGCCATACAAGTACCTGCCAATACAATACAATCTATATAGACCAGCAAAATAGTTAAACTTTAGGGGTTGGATTTAACATAAAGAGATTGATCAGTCTGTAACTGAGAATATCCTAGGGAAATCAAGAAAGAAGATAGTTTGGAGTACCATTATCTACTAGCTTGTTTTAAGCCATATAAGGACTTGTGAAGCCTGCAAACCTGAGAGGGATTAGAAGTAGACAAACCAGGTGGGAGGGTCATATAAACCTCCTCATGCAAATCCCCATGAAGGAAGGAATTATTAACATCCAGCTGTTCCAAATGAAATCCTTTAATAGTTGCAATGGACAAGAGTACTCTAATTGTAGTAAGCTTAGCAGCAGACAAAAAGTATAAAAATAGTCAATACCTTTCACCTGCGTATATCCTTTAGCTACCAACCTAGCTTTATATCTCTCAATTGAGCCATATGCTTTATATTTAACCTTGTAGACCCATCTACACCCAATACAATTTTTTCTAGGTGGTAGGCCAGCTACATCCCAAATGTGATTCTTTGCAAGGGCTTGTAACTCAACATCCATAACATGTTTCCAACAATCAAGCTTAATGGATTGGTTAAAGGTTTTAGGTTCAACTTTGGAATATATAGAGCAACAAAATTATTTATATTAATGACAAATGATAAAGGATATGCAATATTGGAAATTTTAGAATGCAATGCATAAGATTTATTCAATGCAGCATAACAATGGTAGTCTGCCAAGTATCTTAGAGGATGAGAATTTATGATAGATTATCTTATAGGAACCATATAGGTTTCATGTTCACTAGGACTGGTAACATCACTATGTTCATAAGGTAAAGGATGATAAAGAGTATCAGTGAAGGGACTGATGGGTAAAGCTAAAGAAGAGGTACTGGGATAATCAACATGAGCTAGTAAGGTAGAAGTACTTTGTGGTAAATGTAATCCTATGTTGGCTGTAGGATTGGCAGGTGAACTAGGTTGTGTGGACCAATAATTATCAGACTGGTTGGGAGAGTTAAAGGTAGAATAAAGAGGGGAGGTGAATGGTGTATGACTGTCATTAGGATGAGAAATATTAAGGGAGTGGATAAGTGTATTAGTGCCATGATAAAAAGACACATCAATAGTACTTCAAGATGCTGCAGGTCAGGAAAATGATCAAAAATAGGATAAGAGTTATGGTTGGGGTTGGTGGGAGTTTTGGGATCCTTGATATATTTGAATGGAAAATGAGTTTCATAAAAGACAACATTTCAAGAAATAAATATATTGTGATTGTGCATACCATTCAATATGTATTCCTTAATTCCATCCCCATGTCCAAGAAAAACGGGCTTTCTAGCTCTATGATCAAACTTAGTCCTGTGAGCATGTAAAGTTGTGGAAAATCTTAAGCAACCAAAAACTTTCAAATGTATCAAAGATGGTGGTTGTGAGAATAAAAGTTCATAAGGACATTTTGACTTTAACAAAGGGGCGGGCAATCTATTGATTAGATGTATGGCATGTTGAACACAAAAAATCATATGGATCAAAAAAAGGATCGGATACCGGTGGTTTGGTTAGGGTTCCATCAATAAATTTGTCTATGCTTTTGGAAATCAATTTTATGCGCATCGATCGTGCCTGTGTGTGATAATTCTTATCATCAAGAAGTAGTGCTGAATTTTCGTTTGGATGAAGATAATACATATTTGTTGAACTCGCGGAGAAATCAGTGAAACTATGGTAAGCTATTGATAGAGAAATCAAGAACGAAGAAAGAGAGAAACTCAATTGTAACAAGAAAACGTAAGAATCAACTGCGAAAGAAAAGAAATGATGCAGAATTACAAAAAAACAATGGAGAATAATGGCTACCATAACTTGTAAAGTTCTGATACCATGTTAATGTTGAGAACTCAAGAAGATTCTCCATGAAAATGGTGGAGAACTACAAAAAAAGAAGATGAAAAATGTGCCAAGTTTGTTATTGAACTATAAAGTAGCTGTAACTAAATTCATTAAATTTGAAAACATATTACACTGTTTGTATATATACAAGATAAGAATAGATAAAACTAATAAATACATAAAAAAACTATAATATATCTATACACGTGTCATTATAACCATGGATAAGGAATATTTGTTCTACAACTAGAAAAAGGATCAAATGAAAAATATGTGACTATCATCAAAATTAATTGTAAATTAAAATTTTAATTCACTCTTTTTTTTGTTATTTGTTTGTGACTAACACTACTAAGACCATCTCCAACAGGAGGATAGTTGGTTCAGTTTGCCACCTGTACGTAGGTTTCCAAGAAAATGGACCAATTATCAATTGCAAATTCTTTAACCGTAACTTCAGACTGCAATGTTGTAATGAAATAAAAAAATATTAAAATTTAAAACTTGTTATCGTTGAAAACTCAGTCTCATAACTTTTTAACAATTAATTTGTTACCTTTGAAAATTCTGAATGCAATGTAACTTTTTTTTAAATTTATTTTTTAACAATTAATTTGTTTATAAATGAGATCAATTCAGATTTTTTACACACAAATCTTCTCTCACAATTTTATTTTCTATCAAAATTTCAGTTTCTGTCCCACAATTCCATCACTTTACTCTTACGTTTTCAATTTTGTTTCTTACTATTTCTTCTCATTAGCCTTCATTTGACACAATACTTTACCTAAATCTTTATTTACTTAATTCAAAATTACTATTGTTTAGGTCAAATGGATCCTAATCAATATAATTTTCAATAATCTTTGTACCAACTCATGCAAAATTATCAACATCCTAATGCTCAAAATTCTCAATTTCCATCACCTCCCAACTCTCAATTTCCATCGCCGGCAATGAACTCTATCGTATTTTTTTCATCACCAAACAATCCAAATATGTATTTTAGACCTCAAATAAATACTCATAGGGTGGAATTGTCTCGTCGTGAACCCGAAACACCGATTGGGTTTATGTCTGAACGTCAAGTTCCACAATTTCCAACTCAAATTGGAGGAGAAGAAAATCATTTGGTAAAAAAAAAGAACTCGAGAGATATTCACAAGGGAGGAAGATACACTTCTCATGCAATCATGGGTCAAATATTTCAAAGGATCCAACAATGCAAGTTGATAAAAGAAAGTTGATTGTTTTTGGTTAAGAATCGCCGCCAATTATAACCAGTATCGTGGGCAGTCGCGAGAAAAGCAACACGACCAATTAAAATGTTGATGGCATTGAATAAAAAGTCTTGTTCAAAAATTTATTGGGTGTTACAAACAATATGTTAAAGGAAAGAAAAGTGGAACATCGGAAAAAGATATCTTAGACAATGCACATGCTTTTTTTTGCTCAAGATGAAGGTGCACCATTCAATCTTGAGTATGCATGGTGGATTTTAAAATATGAACCTAAATGGATGGGGGCATCCACTGAAAATTCTTCAAAGAGAATAAATAATTCTTATAGAGGTGCATACACATCATCATCTAACTCAGAGACACCTTCAAGTTATGAGTTTGGGATAATGGAAAGATTGGGATAATGGAAAAATCTAGCACGACTTAAGAAGGAAGAAAACAAATTAGTCAAGGAAAATATGAAGTTTGAAGCAATGCAATTCATCATATCAAACACTTCTAAGATGAATGATAGTCAATGTGAATTTCATGAAAAATATGGTAATAAGCTAAAAGAAAAATATGGACGGTAATAAGATGCAATGTCTAGTATTATTAGATTTAAACATTATGTAGTACTTGTTATGTATCAACACCTATTATAATACAATGCAATGTTCTAGTATTATTATATTCAAACTAGTCATTATTCAAACTAGTTGTTATTCAAACTAGTATTATATATACTTTCATTCTTCTCTCATTTTTCTATCATCACTCTCTCATTCTTCTATCATTTTCTATCATCATTCTCTCATTCTTCTATCATTTTTCTATCACACTTCTCTCACTTTAATGGATTCAAACACTTCAAATAACCTCAACAAACGTTTTTGGGATATGATTGAAGAAGAAATTATGGACAACACAAATGAAGAACTACTATTGTCAATGCTAGAAAAGGAACGTCAATTTGGAAGTTCCGCTAGGCCAAAAAGAAGATCAGTGATTCATCGGAGTTGGGAAGAGGGGCATATACGATTATTCAGTGACTACTTCTAAGAAAATAAAGTATACACGGATGCCTAATTCCGTAGAAGGTTCAGAATGCATAGGCATATGTTTCTTCGAATTGTAGAAACCCTTGGAAATCATGATGAATATTTTCAAATGAGGGTCGATGCAACAGGCAAAATAGGTCTTTCACCATTGCAGAAATGCATTTCTTCTATTCTTATTTTAGCATATGAACCTTTTAGTGACATTGTAGATGAATATGTTCGAATTGGTGAAGGCACTACAGTTGAGTGCTTTGAGACATTCGTAAGGGGAGTGAATGAGGTGTTTGAGGATGAGTATTTGAGAAGGCATAACAACAATGATGTTGAACATCTTTTACAAGTGGGAGAGTCACGTGGATTTCCAGGCATGCTAGGTTATATTGATTGTATGCATTTGGAATGGAAAAATTATCCTGTTGCATGGAAAAGACAATTTTATAGAGGTGATCATGGTAAACCCACGATCATGCTTGAAGTAGTGGCATCACAAGACTTATGAATTTGACATGCATTTTTTTTGGTATTAAAGGTTTAAACAATGACATTAATGTGTTAAACCAATCAAACACGTTTAACAATATTTTGGAAGGAAATGTTGCCACTATGCAATATACAATCAATGGGACTCCATATAATATGGAGTATTATTTAGTAGATGGTATATATCCTGAGTGGGCTACATTTGTCAAGACCATTTCAATGCCACAAGGAGAAAAGAGAAAACTATTTGCACAACATCAAGAATCAACTAGAAAAGATGTGGAATGAGCATTTGTAGTGCTTCAATCTCGGTTTGCAATTATACACGGTCCAGCGCATGCTTGGCACATGGAAACCCTCAAGCACATCATATATGTTTGCATCATATTGCACAACATGATTGTTAAAGATGAATGAAACACATATGAAGGTGGTTTTAATTACTCTTATGATAATGTAGATAACAACAACTCAATGGCTGAAACATTTAATGGTTCTCATCTGAACCTTGCAACAAGACTACAAAGAAGAGCAAGTCTTCATGAAAAACAAGTTCGTCATCAACTTCAAGGAGATCTAGTTGAATATATTTGGGAACATTTTGGACATGAGGAAGACGAAATTTAAATTTGATTAATTATGTAATGTTATTTATTTTTATCCTTTTTAATTATATGTCATGTACTTGAGATTAATTTAAATTATTATTTTAAAGTTTTTAAGTTTAATTGATTTTTGTTTATTTTATATTAATATTAGTCTAAATAATTTAAATTATTATTCTAAGTTAAAATAAAATTAATATGAATAAAATATTAATATATGAGATAAAGTTGTGAGACTTAATATGAGTTCTTTAGAGTTGCACCATTGGAGTAAACTATTGAATAAGTTGCTTTAATCTGACGTGGCTTAATGGGTCCCACAAAAAACCCAAAAATGGATAACACCGTTGAAGAGTGTGGGTGTCGTATAAATTGTCATCCAGTACAAATGTACATCCAGTGCGAGGAGAAGGAGTCCGCCTGTTCTGCCCGAGATTTGAGGCATCGTGAGAACACCCAATCCTTCAGGTTTGACGAGCCCTCGACATCTCACCGAGGAGATAGAATGCGTGGAGACCGTCCCTGAGAGCCCCAAGACAAAAAAGGGCCCTATGGCCGGTACCACGAGTATAATCCCTTGAAAGTATCCCAGGAAAGATCCTTTCTGAATGTGCCAACTCAGAATTTTGGCAGGCGGGAGTCCGGTTCCCAAAGCAGATACCACCCAAACCAAACACTGACAAGTCGAAATATTGCCAGTTCCACAAGAGCCACAACCATATGATCGACGACTGCATCCACTTGAATAATGCCATAAAGATACTCATCAAAGACAGACATTTAAAGCAGTTCAACAAACGAAAGGATGCTCATCAGCAGGACACATAGAAGTCCAAGAAGGTCGAGGAAGAGGTGCCTTCCTCCAAAGAAACCAGCCTTTAGGTCGCTATGAGCATCTCGCGGCCTGAAGATTTCTACATCCCCGAGGGGCTCATCACCCCTCCATATTTTGCCGCACACAGCCCATATGAGACTTTCTTCTCCGCCATGGTCATCTCCGGGGGGGGGGGGGGGGGGGGGGGGCTTCAATAAAGTCACGTTAGGGTCCGTCAAAATAAAATTCAAGCACCTTATTAGCAACAGCTCAAACCGGAACTCCACTTTCGATAGGTTTCAGGGAGAGTCTGTTCCCATATGCTTTTACTGCGAGGAGTTCTTCAGTGGAGCCCCCAACGCCAATATCCCTCTGCTCGTGAGGGTCCAGATAGAAAATTTTGACGTCCGAAATCCTACTCGACTAAGGCAGCTTAGTCAATATTATGTATTCCCAACTATTCTCCACCCTCCAGTTGGACAAATCACATCTGACTCCCTACGTGGGCTCCGATATGTAGGGTTTCAATGGGTCGACGATGAAGCCCTGGGGTTATGTAAAGCTGATCATAACCTTTGGGTCCGTCGAAACGGCCAGGTCAATCAAGGTCCAGTTCCTGGTCATCGATTGCCCGTCGTTATACCAATGCATTTTCAGGCGACCAACTTTGGCCGAATTGGTGGTCGTACCTTCAATAGTACACCTGAAGATGAAATACTATACTTCGATAGGTCTCATGGAAACTCTGCACGGGAACATTGAAGTCGCGAGAAGATGCTTTGAAGAAGCCTCCAAGGGGCTAAACACCATCGCCGCCAGGCCGTAGACTCCCAGCAAGTCTTTTCTGCCCAACAACACCGAAGAAACAAATTCGTTGCCCCGTGTCGAATCCATTGACCTTGACAACCATTTCTCCAAAGACGACTAGAAGATCCAAAAAGTGAAGGGGAAAAAGATCCAGTCATCTTCGAGCAACCCTTCCATGTCCACCAGTAATAGCGAAGCTTTCCATCCGATGCGCCCAGTTCCAGATGGAGAGTTTGAAATATCTTACTCGGTGATGTCCCCCAGTGGGGAGTGAAGATTATGATCGGACTCCCTGAGCTTGCGAGGAAACAACTGAGAGCCTGCCTCTGGGAGAACGCAGATCTATTCGCGTGGAGCACCGCGGAGATGCCCGGGCTAGACCCTGATGTGGCATGTCACCACCTCACTATCGATCCCGTCGTTAGGGCAGTATCTCAACATAAACGACGACAGTCTCCGGAGAAGACGAAGGCTGTCGAACAGGCTGTAAAAGACCTCCTAGAGGCGAACTTTATCTCGGAAGCCAAGTATACCACTTGGCTGTCCAATGTTGTACTTGTGAAAAAGAATAATGGAAAATGGCGAATGTGCCTTGACTATACCGATCTTAATAGGGCTTGCTCTAAAGACGCATATCCACTCCCTAACATAGATAAACTAGTTGATAATTTGGTCGGTTTCAAATTGTTGTCTTTCATGGATGCATATTCGGGCTATAACCAAATACCCATGGTAAAAAGCGACAAAAGGTACACGACTTTCATGACCGAATCAGGCAATTATTACTACAATGTAATGCCCTTCAACTTGACAAATGCTGGCGCTACCTACCAAAGGATGATGAACAAAGTCTTCCAAGGAGAAATCGAGGACATGCTTGAAGTCTATATGGACGACATGATCGTGAAGTCCCACAAGGAATCCAATCACACAACCCACTTGAGGAAGGTCTTTGAGCAGGCCAGGAAGTACAAGATGCACTATAATCCAGAGAAGCGCACGTTCGGGGTACGAGCAGGAAAGTTCCTCAGTTTCTATCTGACCGAAAGAGGAATTGAAGCTAACCCTGACAAGTGCAAAGCCTTCTTCGAGTTCTCCACACCGAGCTCAAAAAAGTTCATCCAATCCGTAAACAGGATGCTCGCATCGCTATCCCGTTTCGTGGCCAAGTCTTCCCAACACACCCTCCCTTTTCTCAAACTTCTCCGCAAGGAGGTCATGTTCGAATGGATGGAGGAATGCGACAAAGCCCTCCTCCACCTGAAACAAGTTCTATCAGAGCCACCAGTCCTCTCCCGGCCAGATAATAGTGAAAATCCTTTATCTCTACTCCGTTGTTGCAACTGAGGCTGTCAGCGCTACCCTCATTCGCGAAACACCAGACGGGAAAAAGCCCATCTACTTCATGGTCAAGGAAATTCAAGGGCCAGAGATGAGGTACCTAAAGATAGAGAAGGTGGCCCTAACCCTTATCAACGCTGCAAGAAGGCTAAGACACTACTTTCTGGCCCACACAATTGTGGTACGCACGGGCCAACCCATAAAGCAGCTGTTAGAATATCTAGATATAGCCGACATAATGCTTAAATGGTTGATAGAGCTGTCCAAATTTGAAATCTAGTACGAGATCAGAAAGATCCTCAAGGCACAAGCACTGGCTGATTTCGTCGCAGAAATGACCTTGCCCGACTACCCTACCAGGGGTGCCCGCAAGTGGGTTATCTTCATTGATAGAGCACATAGCTCAGCAGAGAGCGGGGCATGTGTCATCCTAGAAAATGAGGAAGGAACCCTCATCGAAATTTCACTCACGTTGTCCTTCCCTACTTTTAATAACCAGGCCGAGTACGAAGCTTTCCTCGCAGGTCTGCGCCTCGCCGAAGACCTGGGAGCAGGAGAAGTCGTCATCTGCACTGATTCTCAGCTCGTGGCCCTCCAAGTCCGGGGAGACTACCAAGTCAAAAACAACAACCTGTCTGAGTAATTAGCTCTGGTTAAAAAGAAGATGACAAAGTTTACCTCTGTAGAACTGAAATACGTTCCACACGAACACAACATCTGGGCAAACATCCTATCAAAACTAGCAAGCACGAAAAAGAAAGGGGGGAATAAATCTGTCATTCAGGAAATACTCCCACGACCTAGTATTAAGAGGGCGTCCACGACCCTCGATGTGCACGTCGTTGGCGACAACCATTGCTGGATGACCCCCCGTATATAATTACCTCATGAAGGATGAACTGCCGTCCGACCCCAAGAAGGCTGGCGTAGTGAGGCGCAAGGCCTGCTCCTACG